TATGTTGCGATCTTAAAATGGCATAGCATCAATCACTAACATACTGCGCATTAGTTCTGACACATGTTATTTTTTTCTGGAAACTTGGTTCAAATTTGCTGGTAGATTTTTTTGGAAAGGAATAAACACTATTTTATGGAACTAAGATCTAAATTACCATAGAAAAAACATATTTGCATTTTTTTATATTATATCCATAAATATGGGCCGACGTTGCCAAGTTATTCCAGTTTTTTTGAATTCTTTAGCAATGAAAGAGTTCAGAAAAAAATCGCAATAGGGTTATTTTATGGAAACATATATAATCTAAAATAAAATGCTTTGTTCTGGTGTAAATAAAATTGAGTCTTAATATACACAGTGTTTATAAAAAATGCTTTAATTGTTACAATTTTGAAATATCGATATTTCAGTTTTTTCAAATAAAGCTCCCTGAATTTTATTACTGCATCTTATTCTGTTTTTTTGTTTTCTTTATTTTTTGTCAAAATTCTGTAATAAAATACAGAGTGTCTATTCTAAAAAACTAAAATATTGATATTTGAAAATTGTAACGTTTATTTTGGTTTATGAACAGTCTATATATTAAAATATAACTTAATTGATGCCACAACAAAGCGCGTACTTCTATTTATCTCTCCACAAAACTTGTTTGGTACTTATTTCATTTTTTTTTTTTTCAAATAACCGATATACCGAGAGGGCAATAAAAATACGATCAAAGACAGCCATGGATTTTTGAAAATTGAATTGAAATGATGGTGAATGAAATCTACCTTTCGTTTTTTCAAGACAATAATCATAACCAGTTGTTATGACTACTGTTAATGTTTGTGCATTATTATTAATAAAACAAGCTATTATTTTTCAAATGTTCAAAATTCCTCCCTTGTTCATATAAGTAAGCTCGTAATGTTTTCAAATTTTGATCATTTTTTATAGAAGTTAGTCATTAGTACTTGCTAAGATAAAACTGATTTTGCAATGACATACCCTCTAAGAAAAGAGAGGGTGGGTGGGTGGGGCTAGTAGCTGCTAAGATAAGATTGATTTTAGCATCTGAGATAACCTATAAGAAAAATAAGGGTGGGTGGGCGGAGCTAGTACCTTCTAAGCTAAGACTGATTTTAACAAATAACATACCCTCTAAGAAAATAGGGGGCGAGTGGGCAAGGGTAGCATCATTATGGAGTATTGAAAAATTCTAAAAAAATTGTTTAAAAATCTCGAGGTACTGTTTCCATAAATATAATTTATTTGTGGTCTCAGGTTAAGATTTAGTTGACAAAAAGTCTTTTCAAGCAATTTTCCAAGGAGGTAGAAAAAGAGTCGAAATTTTCAAAAACGTAGTATTGAAAATTGAGCTTTTAAAAAAATTGATCATCAATAAAAATTCTGTAATATAGATTTCGACGTATTGACTCAAAAAATGTAAGTGTTTATGGTCTTTGAGCAAGATTTTATAAATATTCATTAGACGATTCTGGAAAAATGGTAGAAAAATTTGAAGAAATGAAGACGAAATTGACTTCAGAACTTGGAAATCTATAAAAAAAACTTTCTAGGTAATTTTCGAAAATGATGGGAAAAAGGTCGAAGTTTTCATGAAGGATTATTCAGTTTCAAAATTAATTATTAAAAAAATCTGGAAAATTGACATTTCCTTGGACCACACTGGAAAAATGCGAGGAATTTTCGAAAAAATTAAGACGAAAATAACTTTTCGAGTTTGAAATGTGCAAAAAAATTCATTAGCTAATTTTCGAAGGTGGTCGAAAAAATATCGAAATTTTCAAAGTACTGAAAAATTGAGCTTTTTAAAAAGTTGTCTAAAAATCTATAAAAATTTCTAGGATATTGACCTCGCTGATTTAAAAAAAATCGAGTGTTTCTAGACCTGGAGCGAAATTTTAAAAATACTGTGTTGAGACTCGATTTTTTTCTAATCCTAAAAATTGACATATTTCATTGGGCGATTCTGGAAAAATGGTAGGAGTTTTCAAAAAAATGAGTCTGAAAATATTTTCTTGATTTCAAAATCTGTAAATAAAATCTCCTTGGATGATTTACGAAGGTGGTGAAAAAGTTGTCAGAAAATCCGAGAGGAATCAGTAAAAACAGATTTTGACGTGTTGTTTAGATTTGAAAAATTCACTTTGATGATCGATTTTTTTTAAATCTTAAAAATTGACAAATTTCATTGGGCTATTTCGGAAAAATCTACAAAAAAATCTCTTCCGATAATTTTCCAAAATGTTCGAAATTTTCATAAGGAAATATTGAATTTTTGTCTTAAAAGACATATTTTCAAAAAATATACAAGGGGGATGGGCGGGGCTAATATTTGTTAAAATAAAACTGATTTGAGCAAATGACATATCCTCAAAGAAGATAGAGGGTGGGTGGGCGGGGATGGTACTCTGTTCTCTATTCTCTTTAAATGTATGTCATTTGCTAAAATCAGTCTTATTTTAGCAGTTACTAGCCCCGCCCACCCACCCTCTATCTTCTTTGAGGATATGTCATTTGCTCAAATCAGTCTTATTTTAACAAGTAGTGGCCCCGCCCATCCACCTTGTATATTTGGTCTTTTAAGACAATTTAATATTTCCTTATGAAAATTTCGACCATTTAGGAAAATTACCGAAATAGATTTTTCTCGTAATAATGATGGTTTCTATATATATCAACCATAGGAAACATGGGCTATATTTGTTTTCTTACACTGACTGATTTATATACCTATACTTTAATAGTCCCTACGTAGCCTTCTTTTCATAACAAGAAACTTCAAACATGCTCAAAATGGTAAATTTTTGTTGGAAAATATAGATTTTGCAATTATGCTCCACCCCTTGGCTCACGACGAATAAAAAAGTCATGAGCCACCCACCCGTCATCAACAAATGAGTTGAGGGCGGGTGGGCGGGGTTTGTATTTTGCCCCTTTTTCTTTATGTAGGTACGTAGTTTTTTTTTCAGGGCAAGAAACTAAAAACATTTTTAAAATGGTAAATTTGTAGAGAAGTGTGAGGGATAGAACTTACCATTTTAAACGTGTTTTCAGTTTCTTGTTGTGAAGAGAAGACTATGTTTACTAAGAAGAAAAAAAAGCAAAACAAGCCCCGCCCACCCACCCTATCTCAATTGTGACGATTTTTCTTTATTGTCGTGAGCCATGGGGGTGGAGTTTAACTGCAAACTCCTCATTTTTCAACGAGAAATTACCATATTTTTAAGTGTTGTTCCAAGAACACTAGGTCTAAAGTAAAAAAGGAAGTCAAAAGATAAACTCCACCCATCCATCTCGATCTCAATCGTGATGCATTTTTTATTCCTCGTCAGACCGAAGGGCGGAGCCTAATTGCAAAATCTATACTTGTTGTGAAAAGAAGAATTCGTAGGAATATTCGCAAAAAATGCAAAATATAAGTAATCTCCGCAACTACCGAACCGATTGTTGTCCAATTTTGTATGTACATTAGGAATATCATGTAGATGGCTAAACGCTAACTAAAATTTGGCTAATCATTGGCACCACCAATGGGATGACGTCGTCCCCAAAATTTATAATAGAAAGTTTTTTAAATTTCATAAAATAAGAAAAAAATTCAAAACTGTTTAACAATATTTTGGCATTTTACTTTCAAACTACAACACCGAATGCTCTAAAATCTTGTAAATATTTTAAGGTTATGGTAAATCTTGAAACAAAATTTATTCGTTTATCCCCTCCCAAAAAATTGATGACGTCATCTCAAATTATTGCCAAATAAATCCTCTCTGAAATATGCAGCATATTTTGAATGTGTACTTGTGGTTTATCACCACACTCATAGTTTTTAGAATTACATATACAGTGTGACTTCAAAAGATTAATGAAAGAGTAAATTTATTTTACTGAATAAATCAGAAATTGGACAACCGAATGCTTTGAAATCTTGCAGACGTCTTCAACGTAAGGATGATAAATGTTTAAACAAAATGTATGTGTTTATCCTCCTTGAAAAACTGATGACGTCATCTCTAAGTTTTGCCAAATAAATCCAATCCAAAATTTATGATTTATCATTGCATTAAAATTTTTTAAATTGCTTATACAGGGTGACTCTAAAATGTCAAAAAATCACTATACTGGCTTCCAATATTTCTTCATATTATAACTTACTGCTTGCATTAACAGGTTTGATAATTTTTGAAGATGACGTCATTAAGTCGTTCGTCACCGACATAAATATATTGTTTCTGATTTTTCATAATTTAAAGAAAATTCCACGACCCATGGATCTTAGAATAATACAATCTAAAATCATTCCAAAAAATACACTGATAGTGTCAATTAGTATAGTAGTTTAGGAAATTATTTGCAAACAGAGAGACACCAAGATAAACCTGCGTTTTCGTATTCTAAAATATGAAATTGATGTAGGTACTTGAATTTGAATTAACATTAAAATTAGTATCTTATAACTTTATAAGTTCTTACAAAAAGTGCAAAAAATCAATACTGTGTGCTGACACATTTAAAAATTACATTGTCAGAAACATCGAGATTATAAAAGAGTTCTTAATTTCCGTTTTTTTTTATAATAATAATTGTACATCTAACTTCACTCTGAACACAAAACATGCACCTCTAAAATTTTAGAACGGTGAATGCGCCTATTTTTAACAGATAAAAAAAATATTAATAACCGATCAAAACCTGACACTGATGACCATCATGTTTTTAAATAGCCCCAATCACCTCCACCACCACATAAATTTTATTAATAGCCGATACCAAGCTCCTGCTTCTTGTCTTATAATCCGGACGAAAATTCAAGTAGTTAGCACCAGATCACCTTTTAACCTAAAAGCTTTTGGCACCGGTCCCGATAAGACCTACGAACCAAGATTAATCCTTTCCCATGTATCTAACCAAGCATCCCGTCAGACCAAACACCACCTCTGAGAAACATGTTTATTGTTAACTAAAAAAGACCATAAACTTACAAAAAATATATATAATAAAATTAAATTTAACATCATCCCATAGAAAATCTACAAACTAAACTCATAATACTTCTTTGGACATTTTTGGCGTTCGTTGCACTTCACCGGCTAGAACTGGAGTTCTCGCACCCGCAACCCCAAAACCGAACAGGGTCATTCCGTGTCAAGTCAACAATATCTTTATAAAAACAACTGACTTTTTGAGAGTAAATTTTAAACTGGTTTCTACTGTGTTGTCGATTCGACACAGACGTCCCAAAGTCAATTCCCCAAAACCTCCACACCCATCACACGAAATTAAGCTCGTTGTACTTAACACCATCACAGCTGAAATCCTGGTTATGATGGTACACACTGCCCTGGAAGACACACGGGTTGGAGGCGCAGAAACCCATGGGGGTGGCCGTGACGTTGGGGCCCCCTTGGTTCTTGTCCAGTTCGGTTTTGTTGAGCGTTTGTCGTTTGCTCTTGTACCTCCGATTCTGGAACCAAATTTTGACCTGTGTGGGTGTCAGTTTGAGGCCTTGGGCCATCTGCTCCCGCTCGGGTGCTGACAGATACTTTTGTTGTTTGAAACGTCGCTCTAATTCGTACACTTGTGCTTGCGAGAAGAGGACACGGGGTTTTCTTTTCGATCGCTGTCTGCCGGACTTCCGCAGCTCGGTTTTGGAGCTGGTGACTACCTGCTGGTGGATTTCTGGAAGAGAGAACGAGATTAATGGGGTATTTTTATGGAGTGTTGAAAGGCGTGGGTGGGATGGGTGAATGTTGTTACAAATAGGTGTTGTAAATTTTGAAAATTTCTAAATCTATTGATCACGAAAAAGGAAAGGCAACAAAAGTAAAAAACACTAGAAGTCCAATAAATTTAAAATTAAAAAATAACAAGTAGTTCAGTGCAATCAAAAGTAAAAGACTATGGAAAAAAAATGACTATATAATAATAAAAATAATAACGGTGTATTAAAAAATGATAATTTCAAGTCATCAAAAAATTCAATACTGGTAAAAAATGCAGGAAAGAAAGGAGGCAATATGTTAGCGGGTAAAATAATGTGAATATGATGCAAATAAGAAGGAATGAAACATAAATAATTGATAAAATCTTGAAGTATAAAAAAAATCCACGGAAAAATTAGAACCTTATTCTTCCCCAAATTGTAAACTTATTGATGTCTTTTATAAGCATAGAATCAAATCAATTTCATTTTTTTTTTTATTAATTAATCCTCATATATTTTTTCCATGCTTGTCAATTTCTAGAAAAAAACATTTGTTGTAATCTAAGAAAAACTTAAAGGACTATTTTTTTCTTATTTGCTTTCAAAGTCGTAGAAGATAATGTCATTTTTACTTACTCCGAATTATCAACATTGTATAGTCAATGGTATAAGACGAACATTTGTTGGAAAATATATGTGTTAATTATTTATGGGTATTTTATCATAATAATACTGTACATATTTTTATTGCCTTCTTGTATAGCAATACCGAAACTATGAGAAAAAACAACTTTTAAAATTATTCTTATTATATATGAACTTCCGTCAGACGATAAATTTTGTAATTTAATCTCCATACGTTTTAGATCCGTTTGGTACTTTTTTTTTTGTGAAAAATTAAATTAAATATGATATGGTAAATTAGAATATAAAATCAGATAAAACTGGGGCTAGTACCTGCTAAGATAAGACTGATTTTGGCAAATGAAATTTATCTAAGAAAATAGAGGGCGGGTGGGCGGGGTTAGTACCTGATAAAATACGATTGATTTTGGCAAATGACATACCCTCCAAGAAAATAGAGGGCGGGTAGGTGGAGCTAGAACTTGCTTGACAAAATTGGACAATATTAAGAGTACTCACTAGAATGAAAAGGATTTGCGGATGGGCGGTGCTATTGCTTGCTTATAAAAGACTCTGCAAGAAAAAGTTAAACTTAGCCCCGTCCACCCACCCGTTGACTATTTTTTTCTTCTAAAATTAGAAATAAATCTTATAGTAAATAGTATAATAAACAAAAAACGGTTAGCTTTTTTCTCCTTTTATAATAGCCCCACTCTCATTCTACAGAAGAACATATAATTAACCCCGCACGCCCACCCACCCCGACACCATTCCAGTGATTCATTTTATCTGGTCTGCTAGAAAGTGGATCCCATACTGAACAGAAGTAAAATTAGTCCTTAGAATAATAAGAACATGGATGCGTGGGCGGGGTTAGTACTTGCTAAGATAAGAGTAATTTTGGCAAATGACGTTCCCTGTAAAAAATAGAGGGCGGGTGGGCGGGGCTAGTACTTGTTAAGATAAGATTGAGTTTGGCAAAGACATACCCTACAAGAAAATATAGGGTGAGTGGGCGGGTTTAGCACCTGTAAGATAAAACTAATTTTGACAAATGAGACCCTTTGAGAAAATATAGGGCGGGTGGGCGGGGCTAGTACTTGTTAAGATACAACTGAACAATATTAACTAAAAATTAAGAGCAGTTATTTTAAAATTTGATATCAAATAACGGATATACCGAGACGGCAAAAAAATTACGATCAAAGACAGCCACGGATTTTTCAAAATTTCTCATTGATAGAATTAACCGATCAAAGACAAGCTTTCGAACATTTACGGCTACGTTTGATCGTGTTTTTTATCGCTCTCTCGGTAGTTTTTTAGAATATTTTTGGTAATGTTGCGTATTTCAGGCTGATAACATTTTGAAATGACGTCATCAGTCATTTGAATGAAATAACAGATAAGTTGTGGTTGAGATTTTTCAGTCATTTTTACTTATTACTATCCAGAAATTGTTATGGTGTTAGTATTCTGTTGAAATATATACAGGATGTCCAAGTTTACCTGTTCCGGTGTAATATTTCGATTACTTGAAATGATAGAAATTTGAAATTTAGAACGGTTAATTAAAAGAAAGCAAATAATAAATTAAAATATAAGCAGTGTTGCGTTTACAAGAACTTTTTTATTTGTTATTTTACAGAATAAATTCAAAAGAATAAAAATGTTTCCTTGACTTAAAACAAGTACCATTGGCATCGCAGCTAACATTTGACACTTTATTTGACAGTCATTTGAAAGTAACTGTCAAAATAAACAAGAAACGCGTTCGCGTTACTAACATCATTAATTTAAAAATAATAAAAATAAATTTCATGGTCTACTAGAAGACTTTTTTTCTATCGCATGAACTGAATAATGTATGTTAACTTGATTTAGTTAATTTAACTAAAAAATAATAATTTTTATTATTTATTTAAGGACATGTTTATACTTTTATAGTTTTAATTGCAAAATTAATTGCATTAAGAAAAGCAACATTTTTTTTAGTTAATCACAAATTTTTTATCCAGGGCCATATTGGATCAACTTTGTATTTCTTGAGCTGCAGCAAGAAAGTATTGTAATATATCGGGCGACTGGCTACTTTCATGTTTTGTCGACGTTTTATGATCTCTAGAGTACGTCTGTCGTCTGTGTCGATTTTTGTTAGACAGATAATTAATAGGACCGATTGTTGTTAAATTATGTATGTTAGGAATATCATGTGGAAGGTAAAATGATAACGTCAGCTCAAATTTTTTTTAGTAAAGGCCATTTAAAATTTAAAATTAAATTTTATAGTTATGGTTTATGAATCCGTCTTGATTTTCTATGTTAGATATTGAGATTTTCTAAAAAAAAACATCAGAATTTATACAGACAATACACAGAAATTCGATGGTCATGGAGTAAAAATGTCAATTTAGTAACTCGCTGGTTCGATTGACACTTGGGTCATATTTTTTATTCATCAAATCAAGAACGATCACTCATTTTCTCGAAAGTTTGAAGATATAGTAATGTTGGGCCTGTTTATATTAAATCTATTAAAATAAGATTCCAAAATAAAATTTAAAACGTTGTACTCCATTTTCGCTTAATTAATAATTTTAGCCACCTCCTTGATTTTAAAGAGAAAAATCATTCAATCAGGCAGATTGCTACGTGCTTAATCGTCACATTCTTTCGAAGGATAAATATAAGTAGTCTCAAGTTAAAAGCGTGTACTGATAACATATTTTTTCCACTGATTAGCTGCTGTAAATATATTTGATGTTGCCGGTATCTGTAAAGTATTTATTTATGCTATTTTCATGTTTTCTCGACGTTTAATGATCTCTAGAGTACGAAACAATAGCTCCCCATTTCCGTCTGTTATCTATGTCGATTTTGTTAGACAGATAAAATTCCGAACCTTAGGACCAATTGTTGTCAAATTATGTAGATTAGGAAAATGCTTACCAAAATTTAATGGCGTCCCCTCAACATTTTTTTTTAGTAAACGCTAATTAAATTTTATAGTTGGTTTATGAATCTGCCTCGATTTTTTGACCTAGGTGTCGAGATTTTCGCAAAAAAAAACGATTGTGTTAACACAGTTTATACCAGTATAGGAAGCACTTGAGCGTCTGGAAAACTTGATGGTCATGGAATAAAAATGTCAAGTTATTAACTCGGAGGGCGATGGTTCAATTGACACATTTTACAAAAATTTGAGAATATAATAATGTTGCACCCGCCTATATTAAATCTAATAAAATAAGATTCCACAATAAAATTGAAAGCATTTTGCTTCATTTTAGCTTAATTAATAATTAAGGCAAAAAATCATTCAATCAGGCAGATTGCTATCGTCACACTCTTTCGAAATGTAAATATAAATAGTCGAAGTTACGCATGTACTGATAATATATTTTTTCCCTAATTATCTGCTGTAAATATATTTGACATTACCTGTATCTACGCCGACTGCGCTCCTTTAACATAATACATTAATAGTCCGCACATATCTTTATTTTAAAATAAGTTAACTTAACGAGTTGTTGGAAAAAAAAAAATAAAATTACAAAAATTTAATTTTACTGTTGAAGTACCTTTAAACCAGTTTTTCAAATCAGTTAAAATAGCGTATGTTTTTTAAGTGCATTTTCTATTAAAGATGTGATTTTTTTAATCAAATAAAAAATCCGGACAGACGGCAGACGGACGGACAGACGGACAGACGAACAGACAGATGTTAAAGGTTAAAGTATAGTGTCGGAAGACGGGCTCGATTACAATACTTCCTTGGCTTACGCTCGGGAAGTAAAAATTGGCACTATTCTATAAAACATTATTTTATTGATAAGTTAAAGACCGTAATAATGACATTGTACCAGTAGCAGGTAGAATCCTCTATTAGGGACGTACTTTTAAAATTTCAGCTTGTCCTCAAACATTTAAAACTCGTATTTTACTACCAAAAATATTTGCAAAAGCAGTATAATTCCTATATTATATTCCCCAAAAGTTTAACCAACACGGGTTAAAAAAAAAACAATGTACAAATGTCATTGATTCGACTGTTGTGCCGTCCAACCCCTCGTAACTAGTCATAATTTTTTAGTGAACACATTTTAAAATAAGTGTCCTACAAAAACAAGAGCTAGAAAAAACAAAAAAAAAGTAAATTTAAAATTTTGGAAAATCGATAAAATATTTTGGAAGAATTTTGGGAACTTTCGACTACCGCCAATTAGCATTAATACACTTTTAAATGGCAATCTAGAATCTATGAATGAAGGTCGTCACTTAAAATTTGCTACATTATTTATCAAGAGCTTTCCTCGCCTCTGACGTATATACAAGATAAACAGAGCATATTTTCAAATATTTAATAATTTATTTCTAATAAAATACAGGATCATCACCGTCTGGATAAATAATGAATGAAAACTTTTTGGAGCTGACGTCATAAAGCCTTCAAAAGGGATAAATAACTTTGATTTAATATTTTCTACTTTTTAAAAAATAAGTCCTGCCAAATTAAGATAAACTTTTTTGAACAAAGTTTAAGATAAAAGGGTAAAATTCAATTACCTAGCTATATTTTAAAGGAATTTTGTAGAAATAATTCAAAATCGGAGTGTAGGTACTATCAAAAAAAGTGAGGTACTAATTCGACCATTTTGAAAAAGATTTGGAATTCCAAAAATGTAATAGGAAATACAACTTCAGTGAGTCCGCGAATTTTTATCGTTGATTTTTTAGTGAATCTGCTGCGTATTATCCACCCCCTGTACAGAAAACCGTGAATGCTTAAAAACCTTGAAATCCTCGTCCGATTCATTTTAAACTCAGTCATTTATTAAATAATACAACAGTATAAACAAAACTACAAATAACAAATAAACTTTAACGACTCCGTAGAGACAAAGAATGCTGAAACAGATTTGTACTGCTAAAGCACGTCGTTTCGCTTTGTTAATAAATAAATTTCGTGATTAAATACTGAACCTCGTTTCTTCAAAATACGCTTAAATCGCCTTTCCTTCTCATTTTTTTAAACAAATTACTACATTAAAACAATAATTTTCAAAACACTTACTTGGACTTTCAATTCTCGAATAATCCCTTTGCTCCTTCATCTGCTGCGGCACGTACGGAAAATCGAACGGGAAATCCGCCCCATACATCATATTCTTCTGTAAATACTCATTATTCTCCACCCCCTGATGATAATAATTGTAATTCTGCTCGCCGCCCCCTTGCGAATTATCCCAAAACTGTTGCGTCGCACCAAAATCGTAATGTCCATACTCCCTCTTCACGTTGCAATAATAATTCCCGTACTCATTGTCCATGTTAAGGATATCTTTCACCGAGAACGGGGTGCTAAGATTCGTCGTAGTATCACAACCCTGATAATTGTCATTCGTGGAGTCCATCTGGTACTGCTCCAGCATTTTCCCAAAATTAATTAATTATCACTACCCGCACACCACGAAGTCGGAACTAATTATGCCAGGGTTCGAAAAGTTTTCGAGCGATCGTGTCGCGTTTTTGGCACTTAAGAAGTGGTGGCGTAAGAGCGTGGCGGAGGTGAGACTTATTCAAATGGGATGTAGAGGAGAGATTTGTTTGGTGAGTTTGAAGACGACTGAGGCCGTAAATTGGATTTGCTTTAGGTTCAGAGAGATTATGACGTCAGGGAGTTCACGCCCATCGCCAATAGAACTGGAGAGTAAACTAATACTTGGACAAATGATTGATTGTTGTTTGAGAGGGAATGGGTTGGATTGATGGGGAGGGTTGTTTGAGGAGATATTTTAGGGGAAATGACGACTGTTTGCGGGATGAATACGAAGAGAAAATTTTCCAAAATTTGTATAGGTATACAATTTTATATTTTTGTTCTTGAAGAATGTCTGAATAATTGTTGCTCCACTTTGTTCGTCGTATAAACATTAAGATTAAAAACGCTCCTGCGAGGACCGGCCACTTTAGAAAACTACTTATGGCTACTACTTGCAAACATTATTATTATTGTCTGGTGCTACAGCCACTTTGGGAGTAACGTTTTTAATGAAAAACAGTTCACAAACTTTGAAGTTTGCGGTTATTGTGATGGCGACGTCAGTGATGGATTTTTTTTTAATTAGGAAAAAAGCTTTTAAGCAATGAAACTATTTTATATTGTCGCGTCGGATCTTTCCTCGATGAAATTTCAAACGCAACGTTCAAAATTTTGCTAATATATTTTTTATTTTTATATATTCTAAGAGAATAATTAAGTGAAATAAAAAAACTGACACTTTATTTACGCTTAAATTTGCTCGGCCCTGACCTACACAATATGCGTCTGTTATGTTGTACTATTTAATAAAAAAGTCGGTAATAATTTGTTACAAGGACGTCATTAATATTTTGGTGGGGATAATTAAATTGATCTTGATATGTAGGTACAACAAAATTGAATATATTACGTAGTAATTCTTAAAAATAAAAATCCATCCTGTTAATTTTTTCATACACCCTGTATAAATTTTTTTCTAGGAAAACCCTTACGATATATGACGTTGCAACAAAAATTTAAGATACTGTGATCTGACTGTCTGACAGACAGCCAAGCGGAAGCAGGAAAAATGAAATTTTTTATTTTCTGAGTTGTGGAACGTCAGGAATATATGATATTATTTGAAGTCATTCTATTTCAGTACTTTCCTTAACTACGTAAAATCTAAAGTTTTATATAAACCTTGCAGAACATTAAAATTTCACAAAATGGTCAAATGTTAAAAAAAAAACAGAATATGAGAGTTGCACGTCGTTTTTTCAACAGATTTTTTACAGGAAAGTCAAGTTTTTTTTATTTATCTTAGGACTAGAAGCCAACAATTTTTTCTTTTTTGTAATAAATATACAGGATGATGCCTTTATGTTTTCTCATCGTTAATATTTGTGAAACTGTTGGAAAAGCGAAAAAGGTTGATCACAAAAATTGGAATTACTTTTTGAAAAAAAAATATTCGATGTGTTGTCTGCGTTTTTTAAAAGTAAAGTTGGTATGAATGTTTAAGGCTACGAGATTTAAAAAACAAAAATTTTTTATTTTGTTGCTAATAATCTACTAAAGATTTTCAAAAATATATTTTTATATACAGGGTGAGTCACCAAGCGTTAATTATTATAAATATAAAAAAAGCCAAAGACTAAAGCTATAGTGTTCTTTGAGGACCATACACTAAATTATTTTCTACTATACAGAGTGTTGTTTTCAAGGAGTAACAACTTAGTTTTGCCAAATATGAATTTTTACATATTCTGATTGTTGATTTATTTTATTTATTTTTTGTCATATAGTATTTTGTGAAAACATAAATTTACACCCTTTGTTGTTGTATAAATGAAACTGAATCTTCGTATACACTGTGTTTGTAAAAATATCATTATAATTTTCAAAAATCGATATTTCATTTTTTTCATATATCTAACACATTTTATTATTATTCTGTTTTTCGTTCTCTTTCTTTTTTCATTAATACTTTCTATATTTAAAGTTTAATAGTTGTTCCGATTTTTTACCTTTTTGGGGCACATGCCGACATATTGAAAGAAAGAGAACAAAGAAAATTGGAATAACGTGGCAACGTCGCATTGGAATTTTAAAAAATAAACGTTGGTTTATAGGAATGGGAAGAGACTAATAAGAGTGTAAAAATATGTACGGTGTTCTGCTTAAAATAACTAAATTGTGTGAAATGTCTCAAAGACAAAATATTCTGTACAGTGTAAGATTTTTTTACTGGATGTTAGTTACTCAAGGAATCGTGCACTTTAATATCTGTCTTTTTTATATTTCTAATGATTAACAGCGCACTTATAGTGACTCACCCTGTATATTCATAGTGTTCAAAACCAGAATGAAATATATTCATTGTTCACAGTTGTAAGATTTTTAGGCTTCTTATTCGTTATTAGACACAAAAAATTGCTCGAAAGTCATTTAGAGAGAACCTTCCGCGTCCCTGAAGGACAATCAATAAAAGAAATTCAGTTTTTAGGATAAAAATTAATATAATATGTAAAACTACAGGTAAAAGTGCTCCGCAAAATTTTATGACGACGTCATCAACTTTTTAGTAAAGACAATTGCATCTAGTTTGCATATATATTAATAACAACATATGAAATTTCGGACCTATTTCGTAAATCAGTTTCGATTGAATAAACCAACTAAATTGCTTCATTTACATGTTTTTAAACAAGCCTGTATATTTAATTCTAAAAAAACGTGACCATATTATTAAACTACAAATAATAAAGCATATGATACTATAAGTTTCAAACAGATTACTAAAATTTTGAAATCACGTCATCATGTTTTTTCAAGGGATGAGTGAGTGAGGAACTTTTGATTAGCGATTTACCATATACAGCCTGTTATTGAAAGGTACGTACAAAATAAAATCGGTAATTGGTCTCGATGTATGGGTGCCAAAAGTTAAAAAAAGTTCAGGTAAAAGTGTTCTCCTTTTACAGATAAAAATTATTAAAATTTATGTCCAAATTCGTTGTACGCCTCTGATAAAAAGATCATCTTTCGTTTCTATAGCAACATTTAGTCTTGACAAAAGTTTTATTGTTACAGTTGCTAGGATTTACTAAAATAAATTAATTTTACCTATTTATCCTTCAGTAGCGTCTAAAAAGGTTGGATAAGGGTTAATTTTCTCCTTATAATTTTGATAACACAAAATAAGTTTTCCCGACTTCTTACACTTTGCGAAGAACTGTCCATTTTGTTGTACGTACCCTTCAATAACACCCTGTATTTAATAACCGCGTGTAAAATTTCAAGTTAAATTATTAGATTTTATTCTACAATTTAATTTTTTTCCAAAAACTTACAAACGAAAGGTTAAAAACAAGACCTATTCTTTACTTGGAAACATTTTTTGACAATGTTATAGGAAAAGATAAAAGAAAGAGTGAGATAAAAAAAAGAGTGAGATAATAAATCTAACAGTCAATAATAAATAAATTTCGCAATAATCAGTCCAGTAGTTTCGGAAATTATATATCTAATAAAAATTCGTCAGGCAGACGATAGACAAATGGAATCGGGGATTTAATTTTTCATATTCTAAAAGCAATGGAACGTCAAGAAAACGTGAAATTAACAAAAAATAAATAGACCTTAAAACTAAACAGAGGAAGGTACAATAACACAAAAATCTGAAGTGAAAGATTTAAGTTAAACAAACCTTTATAACCAAAAAAAAAACAAAATACAAGCCAAAAAAGGTATCCTAAATTCGCCTACAAATTTTATTTTCGAAATATTTAGTTACAAAAGTAGATTTTTTAAATATTCCAAAAACTACGATATTTGATTTTGACAATTCTGAAAAAGCGGTAGATATTTTCGTAAAATAAAGCCAAAAAACTTCTGAAATTCGAGTTAATATAAGAATCTGTTTTGTTAATTGTCGAAGGTACTAGAAAAAAAAAATCGAAAATTTCATACAACAAAGCTCTGAAAATTAATTTTTTGGGAAAGTTTCCTAAAAATCCACAAAAAACTCTGGAAGCTAAATATAAAAACATAGCGTATGATGGTACTAGATCGAAATTTTCGAAATATTCGGGTTCAAAGTCGAATTTTTACAATATACTTACAAAAAATTGCCATCATTTTGACAATTCTGAGAAAATGAACTAAGTAAAACTTCTGGAGGTCGAATTCTACAAAAGAATCTCCTTTGGTGATTTTTAAAGGTGCTCGGGGAAATATCAAAAATTCCTGAAAAATTGATCTTTTGGGGAAGTGGCCTAAAAATTCACAAAAAATTCTGGAATATAGATTTCGACGAACTGAATCCAAAAATATGACCTGTTGGTGATCCTGAACCTAGATTTTTCGAAGTTTTTCAAAAACATTTCACTTGTTGATTCTGGAAAAATGGTGGGAATTTTCGTAAAATAAAAAAAAACTTTAACCAACAAAAGTTTTTTTTTCGAAGGTACTAGAAAAAAATCGAAAATTTCACACAAGAAAGGTAAGTTTTTGGAGAAGTTCCCTAAAGATTCATAAGAAATTATTTGAACTGAATAGAAAAAACATAGCGTATGATGTTCCTAGATCAAAATTTTCGAAATATTTGACTTCAAAGTTGAATTTTTAAAAAATCAAAAAAAAAAAATGCGATAATTTTGACGACTACGAGAAAATGAACTAAGAAAAACTTCTGGAGGTCGAATTCTACAAAATAATATCCTTTGGTAATTTTTGAAGGTGCTCGGGAAGATTGTAAAAATTTCAAGGTCCTGAAAAGTTGATGTTTTGGTGAAGTGATCCAAAAAAATCTAGAATATAAATTTCGACGAACTGAATCCAAAAACATAGTGTGTGGGTGATCCTGAACCTGGATTTTCGATATTTTCAAAAATATTACATTTCTGGAAAAAAGAAGTCGAAAAATTTGTGTAGTTCGAATCAACAAAAGAATTTCATTTGATAACTGTGGATGGTGCTCGAAAAAAAAACGAAATTTTCATACAGAAGAACCAGAAAATTGTGTTTTTGGGAAAGTTCCCTCAAAATCCAGAAAAAATTCTGAGAACTGAACAGAACAACATAGCGTATGATCATCCTGGACCGAGATTATTGATATAATTATGCATTCGGGTTCAAAGTCGAATT